ATGTGGAAGCGGATGACTGAGAGGAACTTGGCTGCTAAGGAGACACACAGTATTGAGCCTCAGCCTAGATCTGCTAGCAACCAAATAAGCGGGGAAACTGGAAAGAGAGGACAAAACCTGATACAGAGTCTGGGACAATATAACTATGATGGTAGAACGTACCCAAAAGTCCCATTACAGCTACGAGACCAGACTGAGAAACTCAGATGCTTCCACGGCCACATGCAAGGACATGTTACATATAACTGTCCTGAGAGTGAAGAGCCAATACAGTGTGACATACGAATAAGGGCTCTGCATAGGATTGTATTGACTTACTTAAAGATGTGTGTGGTGATGTTACAGCACAGTTAAAAGTGGTGATGATGGAAGGGAATTGTGTACAAGCACTAATCAATTCAGGGAGTGAGGTTACTTTGATGAAAAGTGTTCTCCTCCAGCCAGAGAAATGTGATACAAGACAAATGATTAATATTGTGTATACAAATGGTGACACCCGCACATACCCCACGGCAGAGGTAGAGTTTGTTACAGAGGTTGTAAATGTTAAATGCCCTATAGTACATGTAGCTCACATGCAAGAGCGGATAAGTAAGGCCAGGTATCAGAGTACCTTGGACCTGGTCATAGGGTATTGGCAGGTTCCCCTGACAGAGAAAGCAAAGGGAGGGACAGTGTTTTCTACTCCCGAGGGGTTGTGGCAACATAAAGTACTGCCATTCAGGTTGCATGGTGCAACGGCACCCTTTCCGCATATGAATAGGATGCTTTGGCCCCACAGAGAGAATGCAGCTGCCTACCTTGGTGATGTGGCGAATCACAGGGTGGACTTGGAAGCACACCTGATGAAGGTCCGGTTAGTTGTAAATAATGTAAGGGCTGCCGGTCTGACCGCTAACACTAAGTGTTATCTAGGATTTGAGGCAGCTAACTATTTGGGTTATCCACTTGGGTGGGGGTTCCTTAAACTACAAGGGAGCAAAGTAGCAACCATCTGCAATAGGCCACGTCCTGTAACTGAGGAGTAAGTCAGGGCTGGTACAGCCCTAGGTGACGTGAATGTTCATGGTTTGTGTTCTAAGGCCGCTCGACC